GGATTGTCATATTTGTGAAGTAACTATGTGTTTACCACACAATCAAATGCAGATGAGGTTCACTTGCCAGAATTATTTCACCTAGAGGTTTCCCCTATTGCAATGAAATTCAAAATATACAACAAAAGTATGTTCACATGATCAGGTTTTCTAGTTTTAGTTTTTATTTTAGTTTGTTAAGTTTTAGCATTTTAGGACACTAAAATGTTAATTAACTGTATCATTTAAAAAAGTTTAATGACGTTCAATTTCACAGTTTAGTGTTAAAATATACAATGTATCCAAAAATAAAACTCCAATTTGTTGCTGTTTTATTAAGTTTTGGTGTCATAATGAATTTGTTTAGCTTGTTTTTTCCAGTTATGTTTTGTATTTTCAGTGTAATTTTTTGTATTTAGTTTTAGTTTTCATTAAAGATTACACTGAATAGTAGTTGAAATACAATGCAGTGATAGTGCCTGAGATGTCCACAACATGAAAATAAAACCTAAAGCACGTACTTAAAAAGAAAAAGAGAGAATTTTTTATGAATTTTACAACATTAACACTTAGTGTCCTGCTTATTAATGTGAAGCTGCTTTAAGCAGGACAATAAGTGTTAATGTTGTAAAATTCATAAATTATGAAAATTTTTAATTTCAGCTGTATAAAAGATAATAGGCTTTTTATTCAGCTCAATTTAATTCAGTGTTCAATTCAGTTCAGTTGAATAACTGTCAGTGCTATGGTCTATCAATAACTATCTGAGCCATTAATTTTTTTGACTGCAAAAATCGAGTTAAAGGGGTCATATGATGTGATTTAAATTTTTCCTTTCTCTTTGGAGTGTTACAAGCTCTTGGTGCATAAAGAAGATCTGTAAAGTTGCAAAGACTAAAGTCTCAAATCCAAAGAGATATTCTTTATAAAAGTTAAGACTTGTCCACGCCCTCCTAAAACGCCTCGTTTAAACACACCCCCACATGTCTACGTCACTGTGTGGGAAGATTTGCATAACACCGCCCAAATGTTCATGCAAAGAAAGAAGGCGTAACTTTTATTCTCGCTGTAGTATTGTTGTTGCCGCTGCCTCCGCCATGTTGTGGAGATGCTGTGTGTTTCATTGTGAAAGCGAAACTACTTTGTTTGGCCTTCCAAAAGAGGATGATATCCGCTTCGTCATGCCTAGAGCTGATCCATGCTGGTCGCTGAGGAAATACATCAACTTTGTGCTGTGGATCGCCGGATCGGCTTTCACCGTGGACGAAGTCTAGACCGAGGTCATCACATGTGGTTGCCGCAAGCCCGCTGGCCGCCGCTCACTCAAGCCCGCCGTGTGTGACACTGTGTGTTTTGTTGTGAAAGCGAAACTACTTTTTGGCCTTCCAAAAGAGGACACAACTAGAAATCAGTGGTTAAGTTGTATTTACAACACTGTTCCAGAACAGTTCAACCCAAATATTCAGATGACAAATGCAGACATGGTTTTATGTTTACGCGGCGCGATACGCAACGCGTAAAAACACAGTATAAGTATAAACACAGTATATCCCACTGGATGCAACAAATGCCTCGTTTGTAATGGGCTTTATTGGTTTTGTCTCATCGCTCCGGCTGGGACACGGCATCACAGTATGGTAAGGGGTGTAACATTTCCATCACACGCTTGAGGTATTCAGCCAATCACAACGCACTGGATAGCTGGCCAATCAGCATACACCTCGCTTTTCAGAACGATGAGCTTTGTAAAAATCGGTGCGTTTCAGAAAGGCGGGGCATAGAGGAGCTACAATAGTGTACATTATGTGGAAAATAATGTGTTTTTTTAACCTTAAACCGCATAAACACATTGCATTACTCTGTACAAATACAAATATCAAGAACCTTTCTGTATTTGCAATGATTTTCTGCAAAGATACCTTTTTTATCCTGCCAATGTTTGAGATTGAGATTTCTTTTAGAGAATTTAACTTAAGTATAATAGTAAGGTCAGACTAAAGCTCTTGCAATGTCTGTTATTACTGTTTTTATCAAGGCTGCAATGAGTTTTATAATCAACCATGCTATTGACTTCCATAATGAAAAATAATCCAGCAAGTCTGTTTCAATTGAAGAGATGAGACAAGACTGACAAGGGCTTTGGCTGTAATGGTTCATTACCGGTCTGTCACTCCCATCATGTCTCCTGTGATGTTACATACTGTCATTTTGAATGAGTCGCAGTATCACAGACAGCTGTCATAGTGCTGTGTTGATTGATTGCATCTGTGCTTGGAACGCCCAATAGAGGAAGGAGATGAAAGTTCTCAAATAAGTCTGATTTCTTCAAACAATATGATTTATATGTGATTACAGCATCAATTGTGCAATCAATCCTTATTTTTCCCTTTAATACCCATCAGTGTTAATTTCGTTGATGAAAAATTGTCGTCCTAATTTTCGTCAACAACATTTTTTTCACAGACGACAAAGAGATAAACTAAAACTCTTTTTGAATGACAAAAACTATGACGTAAATCTATTGACATTTTCGTCAACGAATAAAAACGAGACGAAAATGTTAGGGAGGGACGATTTGGGAAGAGATTCATTCAGAACGAATCTGCTGCGTGGTTCGGAGGTTAGATGCGTACATATGAACCGGCGGGACATAAGCTAAAATACACTTGCTGCACGTTGCATAAACCGTTCAAAAATATCAATATGTGGGAGTAAGAGAAGAGCAGACATATGGATAAATATGACGACGCAATAGATAACTCAATTCGGTCCAGTTTTCTGAGCGCAGACACTGAAGCATACACATACAGAAAGCGCGTCTCACAGCGCGCGAGTACTCTTTCGCGTCGCATGAATGGAGAATTACACACAAAATTATGTCAAATTGTCCGTTTTGACGAGTATTCACGTAAACACAGTTGATTACGTCTTAAGTGAACGTAAACAGTAGGGAGAACGTGTATCAGTACATTGCATCCATTCCAGCTGAGCGTTCGGTTTTAATGGGACAGCAGCCTAATTTAGTTGCTATTGTCCGAGTCATTGATGTTAATCAAGCAACAAAAGAAAGACCACGCACTGCTCTTGACTGAAAAACGTTAGTAGCCCTAAAGATTAATCTAAATTTATTTATAAAAATTAATTGAAAAATGAAATATGGTTTCTGTGTGGGTAACAGATTGTGTTAACCTTCCTTAGATTTCAGGCGCTGTGGCCTTTTCAGGGTTACCCAGTGGAATATATGTAGCAAACCCCCCCCCCCTATTCTTCTGATAGCCTTTAAAAAAAAGTGGCAATCTCCAAGGGTTATACATATATCTTGTGTTTAGTATGGGTCTCTTGAGAAATTATAGACTGTTGTTATCTGACAAGAGTGAGCAGATGATGGAAGCAAACCATCCATTGCTTTGTGCACAGAGATAAACACAACGAATAATAAAGCAATGCCCCAAAATGCCTACCTAGACAACATTTTAAGACATCACATGCACACTCTTAATGTGTGGACAAGGCAAATCAGACAATATGGTGAATGGGGTTAGACAAATATTGATTTGTAAATATGCTTATTTCATTGAATAGGCCTACCTAAATGTTTTGATATAATGCAGCCTATTTTAGAATATTTTACATAATATTTGTGTATACAGTGTGTTTTTATGCTAATTAGATGCTTTATGCTGATTGTGTGTGATATGTATTTTTATGCTAATGAATCACTACGATAGCAAAGCAGCACGCTAACGTCACACTCTACTTGAAACACTGCACGGTTTTCAACCTTTTTAACTCCAAATAGAAATTGACATGACATTTTATTTTTTTTTGGAGTTGATATTAGAACACATTTTCGTTTGTCATGCATCTCTTCGCAATGATGCGCATGTTATTGCAAGAGTTTGTTGTGTTTGGAGTGACTTAAATATCTGGTAGTGTGTGATTTTTCAGTCTTTTATTTACAACTTTTTCTGCTGTAACCATATATAAAGTCTGCAAATGTATGATGCCTAGTGTTTTATAAGCGGTTCATGTAGTGTATTCCATTCTTTGTAGGAAGTGAAGTGACATGTGACATGTGAAGTGAAGTGACATGTGGCCAAGTATGGTTACCTATACTAGGAATTAGTGCTCTGCATTTAACCCATCCTAAGTGCCCACACACACAGCAGTGAACACACACCCGGAGCAGTGGGCAGCCCGGGGAGCAGTTTGGGGTTCGGTGCCTTGCTCAAGGGCACCTCAGTCGTGGTATTGAAGGTGGGAGAGAGCGCTGTACATTCACGCCCCCCACCTACAATCCCTGCCGGACTGGAGACTCGAACTCGCAACCTTTGGGTTACGAGTCCGACTCTCTAACCATTAGGCCACGACTTCCCCAGCTCATTACATTTGTGTATTTGGCGGGTGCTTTTATTCAAAGTGACTTACATTGTATTCAATATAAACATTTTATTTGTTCATTCAATCCCTGGGAATCGAATCCATGACTTTGGTATTGCTAACAGCATGCTCTATTGTTATCTAGCATTTTATGTAGCATTGATCGTCATGGGCATTTTCTTTGATAATACAGCATGACCTGACTCTCGCCATATATAAACTTTTCTTGAGTCGTGGATTTGCAGTATTATTTGCTGGTCTCTTAGATTTCCTCTGAGCATTTGAGCCCACAGTGCACCTGCATCCACTATTGTTCTATTGTGGTGTGAAACGTGTTGTGCAGCTGAGTGTGGGGGCCGTGCAGGCACAGTGGGCTCTAATTAACACATAGGCCTATTTGATCATTCACTCTGCTGAAAAGACCTAAAATTAACACAAACATGTTTTGTTCTGTAGTGTAGTTGTGGAGTAGTATGTTTGGTTTGGATAAGTGTGAATGGAAATGGTTTTGTTCAGTTTTGGTCTTTTCCTCTGTCGTTTGTATTGATCATTGAGTCGCTCATCTAGAACTGTTCTGTAAATAAGATTGAACTGAAGGGTGTGGCCACATTTACAATGATCTCTCTCTGTCTCTGTTATAGATGCCTTTGTCAACAGTCAGGAGTGGACGCTCAGTCGCTCCGTACCAGAGCTCAAAGTGGTGAGTCCAATCACTGATGTTTAAAATGTGCCATTTTCATCATAACTAATACAATATTTAATTTGCATAATTTTATTGCTTAAATTAGTGTTGCATGCTCGCGACCTCACCACAAAACAGCTTTGATCAGGTCGTACCCTCTCTAAATTGGCCTGAATACGCTGAATTCTGTGTTTCTTGGCCTGTGGAAAGTTAATTTGAAATTAGAAAATAAACTCTTAGACTCTTTACACTCTCACTGCTTTATTTGTTGGTCCACTAATAATATCCATAAAGATATATATGCATCACAAATGTCATTACAGCGTAATGTCCTCCATCGCAAATTATTTCTTGTTTGATGGCTTTCTGTGATGAAATAATTGCATGTGAAAATGACATTGTACCAGTTTTAAAATGAAATGACTGACTTGTCATGCCAACGCATATTAATGCATAGATATAATTTGTTTAATCCAAAATAAAGAAAATTAAACAATATTTAGGGTTTGGTCAGAATCCGCTAAAGTATTGCGAAGATATAGCCTCAAGTCCATTTTTGTGTGAATTTCTTCAACATCGGAAATCTTTTGATAACCTTTTGCCAGCAGTGTCTGAGGATGATCTGAGCCAATTTTGGTGAAAATCAGGCAAACCATCTAGGACAGGTTCAAAAAAAGTATTTTTTTTTTGACCCGTAGAAATTAAAATTTTGGTATGCATTTGACTCGGCATGTGGAAAAATAATTTTGCTTCTAGACTTAACGGATCCTATTGTATCCATTAGGTTTCTTCTTCTTCTTCTTCTTCTTCTTCCTCTTCCTCTTCTTCCTCTTCTTCTTCCTCTTCTTCTTCCGCTTCCTCCTCCTCATCCACTCTTGAAGTCTATGACAGCCCATCGAACTACTTGGAGAGAAGGTCATGAAATTTGGCACACAGATAGAGGACAGTCTCCATATTAAATGTAACAAATTTGGAGTCTCAAATCTCAAACTCTCTAGTAGGGCTGTGTGATATTGAAGAAAAATACCTTGTTAAAAAAATGCTATATTCGATATGCGATACGATATTGCTTAAAGTGTGTAAAATCAATTTCAATTATATTTTAAAATATTTAAAAATGAAAATTATATAACCAATTTGTTTCACATTCTTTCTTGGAAAAGAAAGAATCACTACAACTTCTGAAAGTGACCAGCAGTGTTTTAGCATTACATAAAAAGTAATGTCACAAATCAGAAAATGTCATTTTAACATCAGTGTGAACATACAAAAAAAAAAAAAATGTATGACTAATTTTATATCATTGTAACTTTGTTTCCATACACTTTAAGTACTTCTTCATATACCAAAGCAAAAACTATAGTCTGAGAAAGTTCAAACATGATTAAAGGCAAGTGAACAGTCAGTAAAAAAAACGAAAAAAAAACTAATACACAATTTACAATGATAGATAATATAAACTGTAGTATTCAGGTACAGAAATGTAATAATTGTGTAAAATAACACTGCATAGTGTTCACTGTATGAATGAAATTTAGATTCATCTTTGTTATAGCTGTTTTGTTGTTTGATTAACATTAGGGACATATTCAGCAGCACGTATTTATAGGCTGCTGTCCCTTTAAATCCGACTGCACGGATCCAGTATAATGATACTCATCCGATTTCTTTCTCAGCTGTTTACATTAATTTAAAACATAACCGACTGCGTTTACGAGAATGATCGTCGAGACGGGTACTATTGACATAATTCTGTGTGTATGTGTCTGTTCAAACATGAGGAGATGCGAAAGACGAATCAACTCGGTCTGAAACGCGTCTCTCTGTGTGTGCGCACTTGTGCGGCAGAACGGAAGATACGCTGTGCGAGATGCGGCTTGTGCGCGCGCTTCAGGTGTGAGTCAGACAGCAAGACGAGACGGCAAAGAGTTGTTTTCTGCAATTTATTGCACTTAATAACTCTTTTTAACGTCAAGCAATTCTCTGCTATATGCTTCGAACTAAAACTTTGACCTTTTGCAACATTTTGATTTAAGTAACCTATTATTAAAATGATTCGGATATCGCACGCCCTTGCGATATTTGCATTTGCGATATTTCGATAATTTCGATATATCGTGCAGCCCTACTCTCTAGTGCCACCAATAGGCCAAATTTACACTCATATTTCTGCAATTAACTTTGAACCGATTCCTTGGCTCATGCCGAGCCAAATGCATACCAAAATGTAAATTTCTATGAGCCAAGATTTTTTAGCAATTTTGAATTTTGCTCCTTTTTTGAACTTGAATAATCATTGAAAATTTCTCATAACCTTTCTTAAACAGAGAGCAGTAGAAAAAAGGTTTAAATTTAACCACAGTATTTTTAATTTACCCAATTTATTAAGACAAACAACAACTTATTTTAGTCTTAACAAACTAAATATCAAATAAAACAAAATAAAATTGAAACAAATATCTCCTTTCTTATATTTTATATGCAGACTGAATAAGTGTTAAGGAAGCTTTTGGCCCATCTCCTGAGGCCACAGGAGGGCGCAATGAGCAAAATAATGCACCTCATTAAATGGTTTATTCAATGCAATGAAAATAACGGCTGTCTATAAAAAAGTATGTCTAAACTAATATTTATAAATCAAATATGATTTCGTAAATTGCATAAACAATAATGAACAAAACCGCTTCATGTATTTATGCATAGCTCAATACAAATAGCCAAAGCGCCGATCACACGATTGCATTTAAAAACACATGAGACGCAGTGGAATGGAATAAAACTCCCACAAATTCTCGAGACATGTTTTCTAAAAGTTGAACCTCTTTTAACTTTACATGGCTTTCTATTCATCTCTTGTGCGAGACGCGAGTGCAACAGTCATAGTTGTGCGTCTCAAGAATGTGCCGAATATGCGTTCTGGGTGAATGGCTTGGTTTCGGTTTTAACCTAACCAATATCTTCTCCGCATTGAGCTTCTATATTTCTCTAATATTTTGAATGGAAAATGCAGCAGCGGTGCATCTTGTGGTTTCAACTGGATATAGACTAACAAAAACTTAAGGTTTTTTCTCGTGCGCCGCTGATAAGGCTCCCTGACGCACACCTAAAATTCAAATATACCGTTTTTCATTTGAATGCGAATTTTTATTTTAAATTCGACTAATATTCCTTTTTTTGATTCACAGTCTCCTCATCACACGCAGCCACTGCACTCATTTCAGCGTGTGTTTGTGTGTTCTTTTGGCTCTCTGTTTGTCACTCATAACACACGCCTTTAAAGAAAAAAAAAAAGCGTGACACTATCGTGCGATATCTCAAAAAAAATTTTCTATCGTTATCGATGATGGCGTACCGTCGATAAATATCGATACCGTTTTATCGGCCAGGTCTATTTCGTAGTTCTTTTATAATATCGAATGATGTTCTATGACAAGGAAAAACCAATAACATGATTAAGAATGGATGATAACAAGGGATGATCATTTTAATTTGATCTTCATGTACAAAAAAACCCCACTTAGTTTTAATAAAAATCAAACCCTGGGACTTAAAAATACCCAAAGTTAAAAAGACACTGTTTTACTGTACTGATGGTACTCAGTACTCAGCAAAGGTTATAATATCATGTCAATCATGTTTAGTTCCACAATCATCTGGAATCCTCACGTTAAAGCATGGTTATTAGGAATTGCTTCAGGTCTAGGCTGAGACACTGTTTATTTACATGCCAAAATATCATGAATGGGACCCCTAATAATTCTGTGTATATGCGCAGGGCATTGTGGGTAACTTGGCCAGTGGAAAGTCTGCCCTGGTGCACAGGTATCTGACAGGGACGTATGTGCAGGAAGAGAGTCCTGAAGGTAGGTGTTTTGCTATCAAATTTTAAAACCCTTTGATATATCTCTCACTGTCTTTATCTTGTGCAATATTATTAACAGTTTGTATTACTCACTTCAGTGCTTTTGAAAGAGCTTTTACAATGGTGTATGTATGTCCTTCTGTTCTTAGATCCCATTTAAGTCTTGAAGTTATGTGTAAATAGTTAATATTCCTCTCTTTTCAGTACTGCCGAGGCATAGCCTTAGATGCACTTCTTATTTTTTCTTTCAGCTCTCTCCTTCTCTTATTCTCTCTCTCCGCACACCTGCTGTTAGTATGTTAGTATGGTAGGTACAGTTGTGCCAGAGGACTCTGCTATACACCCCATGTATAATTGAGAACATTCAAGGCACACCGCCAGACCACCACAATATGTTCTCGTGAACGTGTCAATATTTCATGTCCTTTATAACTGTTATTATGTAGACATGTTAAACTGGCCTTTCAAATGGCTCCCTCAAGGAGTAGGGTTTATAAAGTTTAGGTATTCATTTAAAAATCAGGGCTTTTCTTTCAAGATCGCAATTAGCTTAAGCAACATTTAGTACAGTTGTGTTTAACTGCGGTAATTTGCATGCCTGAGGGTCCTGTAGAGATCAAGAGGTCACAGAAGAGGGCAGTTAGCGGGCCGACGGGCACTAATCATGTCTCGTCTTCTCCTTTGCACTTTACCATATAAAACTCAAGCCACTGCATACCAGCGGTCAACCAGGAAATCGCCCTGGAAGAAAAAAATCCCCCAGAAATGTCAATTGCCTGTTTGCCGTAGTGGATTATAGCACAGATTGCCAAAGGAAACTTAGCACGACATCAGAGACCGTTGAAGTGTGTGCCTTGCTAAGCTTAAGCAACACGGTTAAATCTTTCACGTTTGAGGCCAGCACGTCATCTGATGTTAGAAGTGCCGCTAAACTCAGATTTGCAGTGACGTTATGTCACATTTCAGCATCAGAAAGCTGATTTGAATTTCCAAATTTACATTCCAGTAAAACGACCACATACAAAGTTTTCCTACTTTACTTTTTTGAAGTTTCACTATTCTGGGTTTAAAAATAAGAAATGTTTGCTAGCTTTGGTAGAGTAACCCCAACCTCAAAACCACTAAGTAGAGCTGGAGCAGATTTTTACTGCACACTCTGCAATGAAAGCAGTCGGCCGCATGGGTTTTGCACCGCCCCCCTCTTCTATCACACATACTACATAAATAGACACATTCTCAGAGCTCATTAAGAGATATTATCACAAGGCCAACTGTGTGACTGCATGTGTATGTTTACGCAAGAAGAAAGAAAAATCCCTGCAGGCCCTGTGGTCTCGATCCAGACCCAGCCTTTACCATTTCAAAACCCAGCACCCCATATGGGTAAATAAAATGTTTTCTTTTGCCTAAGCCACCACAATCATGTTTGATGTAGAAATGCAGCTCTGCTGGGATCAGCAGTTTGGTGCAATTGTGCAGACCAGCCCCTCTGGTGTGAAAAATAACACTTTTATCAGAGTGAAATATCAAATTTAGACTTTGAATTTTTTCCAAGTAAAATCTAGATAAACTAGTTGCAAACCGTAAAAAGTTCAAAGTTCTTAGAAATCTTTTATATGGTTTAAAAATGTACACCGTTTAAATATTTTAACTTGGGTTTAAATTTAATTAGCTAATAAATGTCATGTGGTGTAAACATCAAGTAAAAAGTAATAATACATTTCCATTACACCTTTAATGTGTCACTACACACTACATGACTTTGATTTGGCACACAAAAGTATTTTTCAATTATTAATAATATTTTAACAAGACAGCTTCACTTTTCTCCAAAAATAAAATATATAAATAAATAAATAAATAAGATTTAGCCAAACTACTAATGTTTTTATTCAAGAATTATAATTATTAATTATTATTAATAATATTATTATTTTTAATTAACTTTTTTTATTATAGTGTATTATTCTAAAATGACCTAGAACAAATAAAAACGAATTATAATTAACAAAAAAAAAAAACATGCTCATCATAGAAGAGGTGTATTCAAGACATTGTATGTTTAAATGGCAATTTAATGTATTTTAGTATAGGATTAATTTATTTCAAAAATGTAATGTATTTTTGAATTAATTAATATTCGGCCAATACATGAGTGTTACTTCACTGAAATCAATACTCAGCTGGCCTGCATTATATGAGCGTGTGTGATAGTATGTGCCCTCTCATGACCATACTGTAAATCAGCTGTATTGACCTGACCATGTCCTCACGGCAGACGGTTTTGATCTGTCTGTTCATATGCAACATACAGTACTCAGGACCCACAGGCACAGAAGCCCTGTGACAATAGAATGAATAAAAGTTGCTTCTTTCTCTCTCTCAGTCTCTCTCTCTTTATCCTGCTGTGTTTAATTTCTTAACTGACTGTGCATGTTTAGCTTGGCTGCTTTTTGATTTGAGTTTTGTTTATTCTCTCTTTCCTCGGCTTCTTTAACTAGCTGACGTGGATGCAGGTAACGTCATTTTCTTCTTGGGGAAGGTCTGTCGTAGTACAAGAGAGTTGAGAAGGTGGACTCTCCCCTCTGTGGCTTGTGTAACAGCATATTCTTCATCATGTTTCTGTTTAGATGCTCACAAACAATGTGTGTCATTGTAAAATCTTCAAGTAGAGTAGAATCTACTCCACGTTGCTTCTCTTGACTCATCACAAAGCTTTAAGCAGATCAAGCCACAGAACAGGAGGTTCCACTCTTACTCCTCTCTTGATGCCACTGTAGTTTTGCCATCTTCCATTTCATTCATTTCCTCAATAAACCACCAATGACACCACTGCACTGCGGGTCACTGTCCATCAAGACAGGATGTTAGACTGTTGTTGAACTCCGCGTTCTATCCAAAACTTTGTTTCTGCGAGTTTCTCATGATGAGCTAAGCTTCAATGCATCCAGAGGCTTTAAATCCGAGTATGTTTTTACTCAGCTGAGGTTAACTCCATGGAGAAAGAACCCAGAGTGTAATTAACCAATGGGTGTGTATCTTTCAGTCGCTGTGCACTTCTTTCTCGCTCTCTATTTTCAACAGATATATAAATATCTGGGTCCAGACTGTATGCTGAGTATTAGCTGTCCTGATGCTGCTCTACTTCCTCATCCTTCATAATGCAAAAAGACAAACCATGTCATTACGGAAAAACTTGCCATCCCCGCCAGCCTAACCGACATACTCGAACAGCTCGCCCACTCTTCGTTTTCAACCAAACCTGGCAACTTTTGGAAAGCACATGAGGAGGAGAGCAGAGTTCAAACTCTCGAGTTATCCAGACAGAGGGAAAATTTTAATGGACGCTGTAACAGATAAAGCTGTTCGAATCCATGAAAGCAAGAAACATTGCGTTCCATCATGTCGTCATCTCAATTGAGTTACAGTGGCTATGCTTTAAAAGCATAATGTGTCTCTTAGGAAGAAACTGTAAAGTTAAAAACTATGGCAGTGCTACATATGCTGTAATAAATGCGACTGATGCTGTATTAAAAATAAGATATACATACAGTGGGTACGGAAAGTATTCAGACCCCCTTAAATTTTTCACTCTTTGTTATATTGCAGCCATTTGCTAAAATCATTTAAGTAAATTTTTTTCCCTCATTAATGTACACACAGCACCCCATATTGACAGAAAAACACAGAATTGTTGACATTTTTGCAGATTTATTAAAAAAGAAAAACTGAAATATCACATGGTCCTAAGTATTCAGACCCTTTGCTCAGTATTTAGTAGAAGCACCCTTTTGATCTAATACAGCCATGAGTCTTTTTGGGAAAGAGGCAACAAGTTTTTCACACCTGGATTTGGCGATCCTCTGCCATTCCTCCTTGCAGAGCCTCTCCAGTTCTGTCAGGTTGGATATTCTAGTGTAAGAACTGAATTATGCAGGTATGCAGAACCAATATATAATAACTGTTATATTTACAGTGGGTATAGAAAAGAAATATACTATTAATAGGCTTCATTTCAGACTGCAAAGCAACAAAATGTGATTATTTTAAAGGGGTCATATGATGCTTTTTTAAAGATCATTATTTTGTGTATTTGGTGTAACAGAATATGTTGACATGCTTTAATGTTCAAAAAACACATTATTTTTCAAATACTGTACATTATTGTAGGTCCTCTATGCCCCGCCTCTCTCAAACGCTTTGTTTTCTACAAAGTCCCTCCTTCTGACAAGCGCAGTCTGCTCTGATTGGCCAGCTGACCCAGTGCATTGTGATTGGCCGAACACCGCAAGCACTCGTCGGAAATGTAACGCCCCTTACCATAATCGCGAGCTTCATCTTTCAAAATAAATGTAAAGACAGAGCCCGAAAGGTGAACAGAGTCGCGTGACAGACACAGTGATGAAGCTGGTATGTGTTTGCAGTACACAAGCCACGGTTAAGACAGCTGACTCCACTGTGATGTAAATAATTTTTCCCCCTTCTGAAATTTTCCTTGACCCCAGTTAAAAAAAAAGCCTAGCTTACGACATTAAAAATATAACTTTTCTGGAATGCACATTGGTTGAGCGTGAATGGCTGTTATCTAAAAAAAAATTATGTAATTTTATTGACATGACCAATGCTTTAAATAAATTATTTCTTACTTACCTGTAGTTTACACCACTGTTCCCGGTTAGACCTGATAAATAAAAAAATATTATTGAGTAAAATAGTGTAAATAGCCATCAAACCCATTATCAGTCCTTCCCAAATCTCTCTCTGTATGATTTATGGTCTTTGTTGGTTATCATGGGGATACACAGTTGGAGGCCAGAGGTGAAGGGTAAAAGTTTAACATGTCTGAGGGGTCATGTCCCCAGATGACGTTGGAATGTCCTTTCAGGCTATGAAAGCGAGAGTGAAGCTCTCTCAGGACTTCGATGCACAAGCTGATTAGCAGTGTAGAGCTGCAATAAGGTTAAGACCCTCTAACATCTCCAGGAATCCCCTCTGATCCTCTTATGCTTCAGCAAACCAACCAACAGTCACCCTCCCCTCTTTCCCCGAGAGAAAGACACTCTCTGTCCTCTGATCTCTGACCGCTGCTCTCACAAGATGGGGCATAGGTCATAAGTTTACTCAAGACGTTTTCACCTTTACCACTCCAGCCGTCGTGGAAAAATAATTATAGCGGTGACACTTAATTAGTCATTGGGTTCAAATACTTTTGACTCGGGCATTATTTGTCTTTCTCTGGAAAGCAAGGAAGGTTAAGTAGAGAGCACTCAGATAGCGTAGATAAAAGGCACTTTAATGTATAGATGCATGCAGCATGTGCATTTAGAAAAGAGAGTTCCAAGTGCAAAAAAAAAACTGATCCCTGTGGACAGAAAAAAATCATCAATGCATTTCAAGCAAATTAATTTTTATTTAGGCTGCATATTATATTGTGACAAATCCATGTTGTCCATAACAATATTCGCAGGGCCTCTCATTTAGAATACAGTATGATATTTCCTCCAGTATGTTCGGCTATAAATTTGACACAGCTGCTTTTTCAAACCTTTCCATTAACAGAAACGGAGAGCGTCAATATAATTAATTAACCACAATGATTCTTCTGAGGAGAAAATGTTCAGTTGTTCAGGGGAGAATTTTTTTTTTATGTATATATA